TTATTTATTTATTTATTTATTTATTTATTTATTTATTTATTTATTTAAACATTTCTATGCCGCCCCTTGCCGAGGCCTCGGGGCGGCTTACAACATCAAATTTAAAAGGGGACAGCATTTTGACAGCTAGCTAGTGGTTCAACCTCTATACTCTGTTAAGGGGGGGGATGGCACTATTTTTCATCTTCCTGTGCCCCCAGATTTTTGGAAATGGATAGGAAAGTTAGGAGTACTAGGAACTATCAGGGAAACACAGAAAATCCCTCTGAATCCAATTGCCAAGTAGAAATAAATCCTTTCATTCCCTGTTTGCGAGTGAAGTGTCTTTGCTTTAAATTGACAGCTTGTCTTTTGACAACTGTCCAGGTGATAACAAAATATTGGGAACCTCTTTGGGTAAGTGTCAGTGGCTAGTACAAGGTCACAATAGATGTCTTTCAGACATGGCTCAGGAGAGGCTTCTTATTATCACACCTACAGAAGTAGAATTGAGCAATGCCTGTTAAATTGTTGTTGTTGTTACTTTAAGAAATTGAACATTTTTGGCAGTTTTGTTAAAGGAGTGGCAAAGCACTGACAGTACCTCCAGTATTCTGCTTGGGCACTTTGGATGGTGTGTTAGTGGCTGTCAAAGAGCAATTCTGACAAATAATCTGCAGAAGAAAAAAAGGGGGGAGCTGCAGCAAGTGCAGATAACTCCAAATCTCAGTGGAGAGCAGTGTGAGCTGCAAAATCCTCAGGGATGCTAACTGGAGGACTGATGGTTCAGTGATGAATGACCCAGTCATCTTTCAGGCATGTTTTGGGTCCTCTCACCCACATTGCTCCTAATAGTGACTGGTTACTCTGTGGCTTGCCATGGGATACTTTCCCTTTTGTCCTCTAGTCTCCCCGCACCGTGTCCCAAGAATCTTTGCAATACCGCTTTGACTGGGATCTTTCTATAAAGGCTTTCCATATGCCTGCCTTCTCCCGCCCTCCCTCCCTCTCACACACACACCCACACACAATACATGATCTAGTAAGCATTCATTTTGCCATAGAAAGGATGTCCTGACAACATACTGCCATATTGTCTCCTAGTGATTGTTTGTTCTTGTTACTCTTCGTATTTTACATGCGAGTCCTAGAAATAGTTCAGAACACAGATGTCTATTTCAAGTTTAACTCCATTTTAGTATTCACTTGTACATTTCTTAATACCCAGTGAGACTAGTAGTAGGGTGTGACTTGGTTGTGCAGGTTTACCATTATGTAACACACACCTCTACACAGATTAGAGTTTAAGATCCTTGCCCCTCTACCCCCAAACTTTTCGTTGTAGAGAATCGGCTGCTAATCTGGTACGGAGTGGTCCTTACGCTCGGCAGCAGTGGAGGGATGAGCAAAAGGGAAATGAAACTCCTGCAACTGCTGCACCTTCCACCTATGTTTCAACTTACATGAAAAGGTGGGTTGCTTTTAAAAAACCCTGTTCTTGCAGGCACAACAGAAAAGGGAACACAAGAAACTTAAACATATGACATCTCAGAGATCATCAGACTGCCATGGAAATCAGGGAGGACTGATGTAGAGGTGATTACATGGAGAGCATCTGATATGGTTGGTGTGCTTCTCTCAATCTGAATCTACCCAGACACATTGCTGAACACCCAAGGCTTTCCTCCAAGTGCCATTTCAAAGGGAGCCTTGCTTGGTGGCAACAAGGATGAGTGCTTTCTCAGTGGCAGCCCCCCAATTATGGCACAGTGTCCCTATTGATGTCCACCTGAGGCCAACTCTATTATCCTTTATGCACCAAGTTAAGCGTGCCCTTTAGGCAAGGGCACTGAATGGCTTTAATGGCGTATGGGGGATTATGTCAGCTGTTTCTTTTTATGGCTTGTTGAATGTGTTGTAAACTGTTAAAGAATTTTCATGTCTGTTTTAAATCTGACCTTGAATTTATATGCTGTTTTTATTGTATTTAATTGTGTATTGTATTTCATTGCTTTGTATAAATTGCTGCTAACCACCCAGAGTACTTTGGCTACTTGGTGGTATAGATATGAAATTAATACTGCTACTACTAACACTAATCATCTGATAAGTCTGGTAAGTCTGTCATTCTTGCCTCTGTTGTACATACGATGGAAGAGATTAAATTGCCATATGTGAGTATATGCCGTACTTTTCCACATGACAGGTAATTAATCTATGGAATTAGTTTTCACAAAAAGCAGTTACATAAAGCAGCCACCAATTTGGATGGCTCAAACAGAGAATAGGGCACATTCACAGAGGAGAAGCCTGTCAATGGGTACTAGTCTTGATGACTGTGTGCTGCCTCTGATACCAGAGGCAAGTATGCCTATTCATAGCAGTTCCTGGGGATTGTGGACAAAAGGTGACTTTTGAAGTCCTCCCCTGCTTGAGTGATCCTGTAGGCAACTGGTTTGTCACTGTGTGAACAGAATGCTCTGGACTAGACAGAGCATTAATTTGACCTAGCATGACTTTTCTTATGTTCTTTCATTCTTGTGTTATTTCTTTACCTCATGTAGAACTTAGGTATTCAGGAAAGGCACTCTGTGCAATTAGAAAGTTCAATTTACCTTAGGGATCTTGCAAGGAATGCATTCAAGCAGTGGCAGGCTAAGCTCATGGGTAAAGGCCAAGGACAGACATAATTCTTACCCATTTGGATACTTCCTTACCCAGCATAAAAAGCACAGTTCATTTCTGTGGATGTCTACTTTGAACTAAGGTCCAATGAAACAACTTTGATTCTTGCAAAGCACAGTTCAGTTCTGTGCAATAGCTTTTCTGCCTGCAAAAACACAGCTCAGCTTTGTGCAGAGTATTTAAAGTTTAATTACTTTAAATGCCTTCTTTTCTGTAAACACTGATCGGAGATAAGAGCAAAAGAAGCTTTTGAGCTGGATAGGGAACCTGTGTGGATTGTATCTGGTGATTGCAGATTTCTTATCCCTGCTGTATCTAGAAACTTAGCAAAGGTTGGCAGTAATGTTGTAGAACCTACAGTGTATCTAAATCCTTAGGCTGTCGAATATCTTGTGTCTGTATGATGTCCAAATTGGCACTATGTGCTTATACAAATCATTCTGAAATAAAGAGATCAAGAAAGAGAATATACAAAACACAGCCATATAAAAATATATATTTATTTCAGAAGAAATATATAGCATTTTCATTTTTTTAAGATCCTAAAGTAGTTGACAAAATAAAATAAAATAAAATAAATACAATCAAGGTCCCTTGAACTTCAGTAGACTGTCAGATAATATCGGAAGAACTGTCTAAATGTTAGGAAACAGACTTTTGCCTGATATTCCAGCAAAAGGAATTTGAATTTAGAATAGCTTGTTCAGAACTATGCCATTTTTGACACCACACAGAAGTTCTCTTCTGACCACAGATGATGATAAGTGACTGCCGTCTACTTCTTGTAATGTTATGTGCATGGCATTATCTACCTCATATTGTCTGATATACATGTAGCCTGTAGGTCTACAGAATAGGTCGAGCCCACCTTATTCCAGTGATGGTTTCATCCTGCATATAATAATTCTAAAGCATTGACTCACTTTTGGCACAAAGGTTGGCATGTACTTTAGAACTGATCATTCTTCTTCATCCCATCTTCGTCTGGTAATTTGTAAGGAGCTTCTTATCTGTGTGTGCCATGCCTTAAACTAGTGGAGTGTGTTGGTCTAGAGACTTTTCAGATATTTTCTAGTTACACTTCATTGAAGTTTTAACATATGTTACATTCATGAACAAATCAATACATTCATGAACATGCCTCTTCCCTGCACAAACAAAACAAAAACAAAAAACCATTTACAAAATTTGACTATGGCTTTGATTTATTTTAATCTGTTAAACACACACACACACACACATATATATGTCCAGATCTATTCCCAAGAGGGCTTCTCCATGTCAGACCAGAACATTTTTCAAAAGTAATATAGGAACACGTCACATAGAGTACCTCTTACTGAGACAGTATTGTCATAATAGTTAGCTTCACTGCTTCATTTCAAGTTCTTTGATTAATGATAAATCAAGTCTGTACCAATCAAAGTACTGTTAAACTTAAAAGAATAGCTTGTCTGTGTAAACATTCTTTAAGTTTTTTCTTCAGCCCTCTTCTGGAATCCTTATTCTTTTTAAGCAGGACAGTATTCAAAACAGGGATGTGATTTTTAAAATTTAGAATGTATTGGTTAATGAAGGAGGCTTTTAATTGTATACATAAAACATTAAACATAATTATACTATAAAAAGAATACAATATAAAAGTTTGACAATCATGGCCCTTTATGGATTTCTTTATTAGTTTCTGAACAGAAACAGTGGATCTGGCCATGCTGAGTGGAATCCATTGGAGTTTTAGGAAATATGTTGGATTGGGTGATCTGAATGTAAAAGACTTACTGAAAGATGGTGGAGTTTATGGCCCATTATCTATTTGGAAAAACTGTATACATGATTTAGGATTAGGACTTTTTCCCACATTTAATGGAAGTTAGTGATAACTCTTTTGTCAATGCTTGTACACTTTTGTGTAAGCCTTTTCATTTTTCCTCAAGTTCAATTTCAACCTTTTCTTTTACTTGAATATTTCTGATGTTTCTTCTAAGTCTGAACTCTTCATTCTGTTCTGTGATGCAGCAGAATAACTTGGTTTGAATTCAGGATACACCATCTATTTTCCCATTTCTTCTGGCCTATTACTTTATCTCTGATGTCTCTTTGGCCTTGCCTAGGAAGTTTTGACAGAGCAGAGTGCATTTCTTGACAAGACTGATTTCTGATCTTACCTCCCCTGCTTTCATTTGCTGGTAGATAAATATTCTCTCAGCACTTAACCAGGACCCTTCACAGGTCCGCAACAATCCTTTAGTGATTTTCTACTGTCTTACAGTGCTTCATTTGGCAGAAGTAGTGACCTCAGCAGTCCCTACATTTCAGCCAATCGCAATGCATCTTCAACTACCTCATCCACTACACTTGGTTCATCTACCTCATTGGGCACAGAGTGGCAGCTTGCCTCTTGCCCCACATCTGTCAGTTCTAATACTACAGCATCATTGCACCAATATAACAGGTAAGGGTTCCTAATATGTCCAGATAAGTCCTGAAGAGAGTTCATAAAATAGCTGTTAAGTCTGTTGTCAAGACAGTGTTTCTTTATGGTGTAATCAGCTGGTCTGAAGTTCTTCCCAGTGGGTTCTTTCATTATTTATTTTTAACATTTCTACCCTGCCCATTAGCTAAAGCTCTGGGCAATTTGCAAGATAGCTGTAAGGTTCAGGGTGTGAGTGGTAGGCTATAGTCAGAATGCTGGAAGGAGTCCTGCAGTAAGTTTCAGAGGCAAATGAGACATTTGTTCAACAGTACAGGGTTAGCAGCCAGTGGGGCAGCAGATTCAAGTAAACAAGAGTACAAGATTCACAATCCAAAAACAAACACCCCCCAGTCCTAAGTTCAGGTTCTAGAAGGGCAATCACATTCTAGAGCAAAGAGAGGTCAGGGAGGTTGGGTATAGATAGCTGGGAGACAAGGTCAGACTAGAAACAAGGACGGGAGCAGGAGCATGCTGAGGCTGGAGCTGGAGCCGGGCAATCAGGCAGGCAGGCTGGCTTCAGGTGAGGCAATACAGGAAGCCAGAGCACAAGGAAGTGACCAGAACAGTTCATTTTGCCATGGCAAAGAACAGCAGTTGCAGTGTTTTATGCTGGTTCCAGGCCCTCCAGCTGCACTGCACAATTGTTCCTCAGCTGTTTCCTGAAAATCCCTGCGAAGATGTTCCAGGTTCTGCAGGCCCTTGTAGGATCAACTCAGATCCTGGCAACAGTAAAGTTTTCTAGCTAAAGAAAGACTATATTGTTTATGAATTCCATATGATAATAGTTGGTCTGAGCAGAATGCTGCAGCATATGAAAAATGCAGCACACACAAACCAATCAAGTATTTAACTTTAGCCAGTTTTGCTTCTTTGGACAAACCCACTTAAACATGCCAGGAACTTTCAATATAGCCAGCTGTTTCATGGTGACCATGTTTTACTGATACCTCTAAGATACTAACCTGGGGTGGAAAACCTTTTCTAATCTGTCTTTAATACATTGTCAAGTGTTGATTTATTTACAAAATAGAATAACTGTTCCAGGCTTATTTATTCATGTAACAATATTTATTAATTACTTATATGAAATGTCTAAGTGAAATACAAATACAGATTTAAATACAGAGGGCAGTATTAATTTCCTGGGAATGCCTTTTGGAAAAGGTGCAGTGCCTTCCTAATTTGTAGTGATGGGGAATTCTAGAGAGTGGGCACTACTACACTAAAGACCCTATTCAGAACTATGATGGACCAACCATCCATTGAGGGGCAACAACCAAGTAGGCTGGTAGGAGAGCTGGATTAATTTTTAGATGATAAATGCTTTAATGGCTTAACACATTTTGTTTCGTACTCTTCCTGGACCTTGCCTCCTTTTTTTTATGGAACCCTTTTTATATGTTCAGATCCCCTTACAGGCAACAAAGTGACTCTACTGTAGAGAAGAGTACAGAGGGCATCTCTTCCAGCATTCCTCTAAGTGTCATAACAAATCTCACTGTACCTAGTAGTGCCAATGGTGTCACAACTGCCAACTCCAACTCGCTGACTGGAACAGAGACCTCTGTTGGTGATGCCAGGGATCGCAGAAGGTCAGTAAGCCTTTTAGTGGTATTCTTATGAACTTTGTATATGTTTGTGGCATCCACTGACTAGCAAAGCCCCAACAGTCTTTCCATTTATTTAGCAATGAATTGAAAACTTTCTCCAAGTTAACTGTTGTATTTTCCCCTTGAACCTGAACAAATACATCAATAGAGCCAGAACACTGTCCATGCGTCAAAGTCATGTTACAAATAGGAAAGAAATTAATTCTTCAGTGTAAGAAATTTATTTTTGAACTTCATATTATTCATATTCTATGCAAAAACTTGAAAGAAAAATATAGTTATCTTTATGTAGGTATCCCATCAGCCGTTAACTCTCTTCTTTCAATATCATTATTTAGGTGGTTATTTATTTATTTAACAATCTAGAATATTAGCCATTTTTATTTGTTTACCAGAGCCCCAGGGTTCTGAACCTCTGAATAAACTCAGTCTGATTGTGTAGCCTGTTTTTATACAGATTCCATCAGTATATCATTGCAAGCAATTGCTGAAATTTTCTGCAGTATTGCATTTATCTGGCACTGCTGAAGTATACATTCATTTGTGCACATATTTTGAAATTAAAAGGGATTGTATTTATGAAGAACTAGTGTTTTAAGTAATATATTGCATGTTAAATACCTAGTAATGTAAATTGCGTTTGGCTTCAGAATTACAAACCTAGACTTCCTTCTTTTTACAGTGGTTACTGAGCTTGGTTGAAATCACCCCATTTTCAAATGAGATTAGATGTTACTTAAAAGGAGACCAATTTGGGAATTTAAACTAGATTCTGAGAAATGTAGAACACCTAGCTAGAAAACTCCTGATTTTTTTGAGAGGAAGCCAGATAGCTTAAAATGGAAAATAGAAGACATCTGCCAGATACCACAATATGGGCTTTCAGCACTTAATGGCAGCTGTCACAATAGCACATTCATCCAGTTCAGTGTTCCCAAAGCTACAAGTTGCTCTTAGCAACAACAACAACATAAACTCCCAGACTAATATTAGATCATTCCTCCATAACAGGCAGCCTTAGCATGCCTATTTGAAGCTGCTGGATTAAAAGCAAAATGCATTGCTAGGTTTAGAGAGGAAGGAGTAAGTCACATGGAATGCCTTCCCTTCAAAAGGTTCTGCCTTACGGACACAAAGGGTATAACTGATGAATATATTATCAAGTATATATTGAGAGCTAATGTGCTGTAGTGGTTAAGAATCCAGGACTGGAACTGAGTTGATCTGTGTTCTAGTCCCTGCTCAGCCATGGAGCTCATTATCAGTCCAACCTACCTGTCACAGGGCTGTTGTTGTGGGAATAAGCTTGAAAGAAGGAAGAGACTCATGTGAGCTGCCTTGAGTTCCTTGGAAGGAAAAAAGGCAGGATGGAAATATAATAAATAATAAATATAGCCTTAGTCAACCTGTTTCAGTGTGCTCCAATCCTATAATGCGTCCAGTAACATCTGGTCAAAGTGATCGCATGGGGGCATCTTGCCACAAGGATATAATTCTGTCAGCCAGTGAGCATTTTCATATAGACTTTAGTGCATCAATGTAGGACTATCCAGCATGAAATGGCTCTTCCATAGTTGTTGCAACTTACAAAGTGGACTAAGACTAAACTTATACCATGAACCCTGGAGTACTATCTAATGTGAGTTCTAGGTAGAGTAGCCTCCTTGAAATAAATGTAACAATTTAGTCATTACTAACCTAAGTCTCATTTAGTTCAGTGGGTCTGCTCTATGTAAGACTAATATTAAACATTACCCTGAGTTTCAAATTTCAGAGTAGAAGACAGATTTTGAATGAAGCCTGCCATCATGTTCTATTCTTGTTTTCATCATCATCTATGGAATGTGACAATTTCTGAATACTTACTTGGTTACTGATACATCTTCTTTTACCCTGAATTATCCTGCAGCATTACACTGGTATTGTGCTGGGCCTTAATGCCTTATCTATGCTCTCTGGTTTCTCAGTGAAATATAATTATTTGAATCCTGTGCAGAAACCTATGGATTCACCCTTTGCATTAAAAGCAATAACTAAAACATTTGAGACATGATTTCTGGATTTGTAGTCATACTGTTGAAAATATATATAGTTTCTTAGCAGTTTGCAGAAGTAGTTAAACTTGCTGGATAAGATTATGTTGTAAATCAGTGCTAGGTATAAAAATAATGTCAATGCTATCGATATATTGTGTTCCAAAATTTGATTATAAAACATGCAGTATGACAGATTCTGGGAAGGTTCTAATGTATAAGGGAAGCCAGCAAAAAATGTTTCACTTCCAAAATACCAAGAAGTCTCTTGTCTGGGTCATTTGCTTTCTCTCTGTGAATACTCAGCTACATTCACCACCATGTACATAAGTGTCACCAGAATTTTTCAAATTTGCATTGATGGGTTATGATGTATAAAGGCTTGAACACAAGTAAAGTTTATTTCATAGGAAGTGCATATTAAAGATTCCTGATCAGATATCAAATGCTTCACACTGGGTATGGTACAAACTATTCAAGAGCAATTTCCATAATCTCATCCTAGCAGCTTTCTTAGCTCTCAAACACCACCTACTGTTTGGAAATTGTGCCTGTACTGGACCTGTATTGTGAAAAGTATTTGCATCATAAGTTAAATGAACCTCCAGGAGATATTAGATCCTTGGTTCAGAGGATCATACATGACATATGTATGTTTTTAAATCATTATTCCATTTATATCACACTTTTTTCCTCTTGCAAGATGACTTACATCATCATTGTCCTTCACTCCATTTTATTCTTATAACAATCCTGTGAGGTAGGCTAGACTTAGATTCAGAAACCAGCCAAAATCACCTGGTGAGCTTCATGGGCAAGTGAGGATGAGATTCAGGCTCTCCTGAGTCCCAGTCTAACACTTTACTGCACCACACTGGATCTTAGGTGGTCTAACATGCTTTTGTATATACATTGGGTCTTCTACTTCTGATTTGTTAAACATGGCTTTTCCAAATCTAGAGACAAATAACACAATAATATGATGTGAAATCTGCCCATGAGCAATGCATGCGGCAGACTGAGATGACATAGGAAGAGAACCAGAGAAAGGGCTTGAGAAACCCTTGGCTATGGGGGATTGAGGCCATCCAGGCAATGGGCATGGGAAACTGATAAAACTAGCACAAGACAGATAGCATGAGTCGGGGAGAGAAAACTCATGAGAAAGAAATGGATGAGTGATATTAGTTTTTGCATTATTAATCAGGAGTTATTTGGAGGAATGTATATACTGGAATTTACCAGCCTGTAGCCTAATATATATGAAGGGAGGTTGAGATGTTTAGTACTCCTCTGGAGAACTTTATTTTTCCCATTTCGGTATAACCTGATGAAGGCTTAAATCAGGCCCATGGTGACCAAACACTAGTATCTGAGGAATATGACTCATGTGTAAGGCTGGACAATCTTAGACAAACTCTTACTGGCTGTCCAACTTATCTGGGTTCTACAAGTAGCTCTTTCTTGAGTAACTATTTTCTGGTTTAAGCTGTTTGATAGAATGCATATTTATATTAAAAAATAAAATCAACATGAAATAAACATTATTCTGGTTTTTAAAAACCAATAGGGGATTCAGCCTGTAGAGTTAATGCATCTACCTATTTAATCTAATGGCTTGTCCTGCTACAGCATGATTGTTTAAAATAATTTATCTCGCCTAGCCAAGTGAGAAATTTGTAACCCTGTCCCCAGTTCTCTAGCATCTGGTACAAACATATTTCATTCTCTATGCTGTACCTTTATCTTACCTTAAATCTTTTACTTTGCTGACTGCCACAGTCTGGTTTGTTGTCCTCAGTTCAAAACATTTTTGTGCTATCAGTAAAATCCTTGATTTTTGTAGAGTTCTGTAAAGTTTTTGTTGTTATTAATGTTTGATTGCTGTAGAAATATATGTCAAAATAAAATAAGGTAATGAAAGCATTAGTTAATGTCACCTGGGACATCATCTCTTCCTAAGATTCTACAGATTTTTCAGAATAAATTTCAATTTTTGAAACTTATTTAAAAAAACACAACAGTGTCAAGTTTTGCTTTTTCCTCCTCATTTGCTGGTCCCCCTCCCCCATTTTGTTATGATTTAAGACTAAGGCAGAAATTATCCTTTTACTGATCTTTGTAAAATCCTATCAGATAAATGTTGAGTGCAGCTTTGCTAAAATAGCATGAAAGGTGTATCTCAGGGCTTCTAGATTCAATTATTGCTCTCAAAATAGTGTGCATTCTTTGAATCTTGGCCTGCTGACTGTGTAGTAGGTAAAACTCTTACATAGTATAGTTGTGAGTTAATACCATAGCATCCTTTAAAGTGAGGGGTAAGCTTGGTACCTATGGACAACGTTGATACCTTTCTTGGCCCACTGAGGTACCCTCCTTTTTCTTTTTTCATATTCTTACTGGCAGCTGGGGTTGCTTCCAAGCCAAGGGAGGGCTGCTCCCATCAATGCATGTGTCTGGATAGGATGTGAAGTTCAGACACATTCTTAGGAAATAGAGATGCCGGGTGGTTGTAGGCCAGTTCACCAATTTTGCAGTGGCATCTTTGACAATTTTTCAAATTGCCTGTTCTTGCACAGGCTTCAAAAGGTTGCTGACTCCTGATTTAGGTGAGTGAAGGAAAGGTCTAGAGCAAAATAAAATTAAAAATTCAGAATGTTTTTATATAGACACAGCACCGATTAATAAGTTTGGGTTTATTTCACAAGGCTGCAATTCATTTGCTGGCACAGTCTGACATATTCCTTCAGGAACAGAGTAGTTGAGGTATAGTCTTCCTGGAACAAGGAGTCAGTTTTCTGTTCTGTGCTGCATACTTGGTGCTGTGCTAGGAAAGGGCAGCAGAGGCGTTCATACATTTAAAGAAGCAAGCAGTCATCTAACACCTGCTACTTAAAGCACTTATCAGACATGCTGTTGTAGTTAATCTCTTTGCGATAAAGTTGTCCT